TATATATATATTAATCTTAGTATAAAGTAATACTAATATATCTATAATATATCTCTAATATATTTCTCAAAACACTAATAATACTAATTTATTACTACTTATTTTTATTTAATAGAAATATAAATCATTAATTTAAATATCTTTTCACAAATGCAATCTTTCAATATGAATAGTATTTTGAACAACTGAAAGCTAAAAATATTTTCTCAATTAATTTTAACAAGGTCTTTTATTAGGATAATTAAATTGATAAAAGAAATTGCTCAATAGAGATTTTATAAATATGATAGCATAAAAACAAAATAATAGTTCAACAAACGAAAACATTTGAATTTCTAATTCAAATTTATTAAACTTGAAATTAGTTTGTAAAATTTAGAGTCTTGTATTCAAGAAAATTTTAAAATTTGATATATGTTATTCCATTCAGATTAAAGAAGGATAAATATAAAAGATCAGACAAAATTAAATTAAATATTTATAAAGAATATAAATTGTAGTTAAAAATGATTATTAAATATAGAACATAATTAATAAAAATGCTAAATAAAATTCCTTCATAAATATCTTTCGGAACTGACCAATAAAGTTCATATAAGTTCGATGATCAACTATCAATAAGAACTGGTAACTTTAAGATAGCTGGGTTTAAAATTTATTTGCAAGATAACATCATATGTGGAATAGCAATTATTTACTTAAATATAGGGATTGGAAGAAAGATTATCTTTACCGATACTTATTAGAATAGAAAGTATAACAATTAGTATGAATTTGATATTGCTTCTAGTATAATTATCTGAATTGATATTATATAGATGATTATATATAAGTCATTTTTGGCCATTATGATTAAAAAATTAACTAACTGGGTATTATCACATACTCAGGAAAATAAGAAATATTTGGAATAGATTAAGGAAAATCATTTAATTATATGTTTATGGGTCATACATTTACAGGTTGTAATGGGACTTTTACATTAAATTCAATATAAACTCTTGGTTTTTAGGTTTAGTAACTTCCTAAAGATTACATCTAACAAAATGTAATTAATAATAACTATAAAGTAGCTTCATCCTTTATTAGAAATTTTTTATCCAAGCATAGAAAATAATCACATACAAAATATAGAACAAATGAATACAAGGCAATTAAATTTATCAGAATTTACTATTCTAAATAAGTCTGGGAGATAAGATAATAATTAAAAGAATCAAAATGAATTATTAGAATCAGAATTAATTAAATAACTAGAATACTAAAAATTCGACTATTTTAATTTACCATTTAAAGAGACTTAATAATAAAATACTAGATTTGTGTCTAATAATAATTAAAAGAAAAATTAGCAAGGAAGCGCCACTCCAGATTTATAATCTGTTGGAGTAGGAATTAAAATAGGTATAGGACTTTTTAAATTGATTACTCATCATTGAATCATAATTATTAAGTATATTGTCTATATTCTATAAAAAATATTAATTTCAAAAATGATGAATTGATTTATAACAAAAGGTTTAGTATAAACAAGAAATAATCGAATTTAGCTGAGTTGGGTATAAACTTATTGAAACTTTATGAAAGAAAATATATTTATCTCATCTCTTATTTGATTCTTTTTGTTTTAATTCTAATTTAAGAAAAAATTTAAAATTGAAACTCTTGAGGAATGAAAGAGACAACTATAAACTTAAATTTGATTAAATTTTGACAAATAAGCATTCTAAATGAAATCTCTCATTTTTGAATATTAGATGAGTCCCATTTTATAAATGATTATAATGAAAATTATTATGGGAAAAATTTGATATATATATTCAATAATCATTCTTCTATGAATATAATTCTTGACTTTGCCTTTTCGATTATTTTAAATGTAAACTTTTTATAAGAAAGATCTTTCCATTTGCATTACTTATTTTAGCAATTTATAAAATTATTATATGTCACCAGCCAACAATAGATTTTTTTATTCATCAATAAATATAGAAAATAAAGTCATGTATGTAAGGATTAATTTAAACTATAGATATACATTATATATCTATAAAAATCAATAAAATTACAATAATAATATTGAAAAAAAAATAATAGTTTATAATATAATTTTAAGCCCTTTTTTTTGCATATTCTAAATCGACATAAAAATAAAGTTAAGGGATAAAATTTAATTATTTTTGATTAACAATATAATAAATCAGAATATTTTAAGCCATCTAATATTGGTCCAAGCCAGGAAAGTTAGTTATTGTAGATGTATAATTCACTATAATCCAAAATAGAGATTGGAGTAGGTTAATTGAAAGATTTAAAAAAAAATCCCATAAATTTAAACAATAAATATCAAATATTTCTTGAAAGTAATGAAATAGTAATAATATCTAGAAATGAATACTACAATACTTAATATATATGACAAAAATATAATAGTTTTATTATATCATTCACACATATATACTATCTAAATCTATTTGTAACTACAATTAAATTCATTCTTGTAAATGTAGAAACAACATCAAAAATAAAAAAAATTTATTAAATTACAAATATATTGATGATATTTTTAAGAATATAATCCATCTGGTTGTTTGATGTATGAAAATTATGTTATTGAAAAGTCTCCTCAATCAATATCATGTTGAATTATTAATTGATAAGTTTGGTGAAGTCCAAAATAAGTGAAATAAAAAATATTGTAAATTTAACTTCAATTTTTTTAGAAGAAATAGTTTAAAAAAATGAACTTAAATAAAAGAATAAATTAAGTATAAAATAAGAATCAAACTTGTTGAGGTTATGTAATTAAATTAAAAGTTAACAAAAGTTAATCAGTTCAAAAATTAAATTTGATAGATGATTGCGGAAAATGGAATTAAAGAGATGCTGAGAATATTGTTTATAAATTTACATAATCCAAATATACAAGATATAAAAAAAAGGTAAAGGAAGACCAAAATTAACCATCATCACAACTTCCTTAACAATTATTTTTTCCAATTATTTAGTTTCTTGATTTGCTTTTTAGGTGTGCAGTAGGATATATTGAAAAAAAAAAATAATAAAATACAGGAGGGTTATTAAGATGGAATCTCAATAATCGTTTAGATCTATCAGGGATTCAGATTATGGTGATTTTAAAAAAGATACTATTCTAAAGATTGTATAGAATAACATTCATTTTTATAAACATAGCAGCTACGGGAGCCTTCATGGGGAAACCAAAGGCTATAATCTAATATTTAAGTTATTTAATGAATATAATACTATTATTATTTATCTGCTTAATTTAATGATTTTTAGTATCTTACTGATATCAAACACATTTTTGATTAACAAAGCTTAATATTTTCGTTTATAAAGTGATAATTTAGCAAATTCTAAATTTTAGAGACCTCAAAATTTCTCAAATCATTTATGATGATATTCTAAGGTAAAGAAATAATAATGTGAGTATTAGAATAAATTTATCTTTTATTTTTCTCAATAAATTAATTGAAAAAAAAAATCAAAGATAATAAAATATTTAATTTTTGTCCTTGCAAACTTTTGTACTTTTTCATCGTGTCTAAAATTTTTAGACATCAAATTAAAAAAATAAATGATTTATACTGAGAATTTTAAGAAAAAGAGGTAAATTAGTTTGTGTTAAAATTAATTTCTTAAATCTTTTGATACAAGGCCGGCGTACTGTGGATAACGAAATTAAAGCTTGTAAAGTGTAATCATTTTTCATTGATTAATGTTTAAAATATCTCAAATAACTAATTCTTAATGGACTATCAATTTTTTGTTTTATTTATTTTAATCAATATATATCCAATTTTGGTATCTTGCATTAATAGCTATATATAAAAAGAAAAATCAATTCAACATATTTTTATCAAACAAAAACTATTCTCAATCCCCTCAGTGAAATACTTAAAAGAAAACTGCGAAAGGCTTTGAATTTTTATTATCATATTTAATAATATATAGAAATTTTGTTTAACAATTCTTAGAAATGGTCAAAAATCAAATTACAATAAATTTTGCGCTGAATTTCCTGTATTTTTAGATTTTGTGTTATCATCTGTAGCCAGTGTTTTTTTAATAATTTTATAGAGCAATAAATATGTAAATTTTATTTTTCATTTGGATTTAACTATGAGAAATTTTGAAAGAACATTAACATGTTAACTTAACTTGGTCAGCAAATTTATAATAAAGCTGGATAATTGATACAGGAATTGGAAAACTTGAAAGAGCTTACTCTTTTAATTAGGCTTTAGAAAATTATCCAAACTATGAATAAAGCAATTATAATGTAAGGGTGAAAAATCCTAATATATTTGGGAATTCTTAAGATTTTAGTTGCATAGATCGTGATCATGCAAGTTTTTCTGATTTATGTGATAATGTTTTAGACCCTTTATCAAGCATCAAGAGATAAACTTTATTTGATAATGAAAGTATTCAAGAATCAAATTCTAAAGGTTAAGGCAAAATAAAATCTGTAGTGAGCCATTTTCAAATTCATCAATCTGATTGATCCGAATCAATGAAGAGTATAATTGCAATTCGATAAACTTTAAGCATCTTCAGTTTATAGTAGAGTTTATAAAATTCATCAATATAATTATATAATTTGTTTATGGAAAAAACAAAAATTTAAGTTTGTTTCAATAAAATATTTAAATTTTATTGGAATCTTGGAAGCACTTCATCAATAAAATTTATTCAAATCATTAAATTTTCATGAAAAATAATCAAACAGCAGAGTTTAAAATTTTCTTCTCATATTAAAAATCTTGGTATAAGTGCAAAAAGCTAATCATTTTATTTTAAAGAAATAAATGAAGAAAGATCACATTATGTATATTTTTTTATAAACAGGTGTATGACATTAAATCATAAATGCTTTAACTTAAACAATATGAGCCCTAATTACCAGAAATTCCTCTTATAGATCCAATTATTGATAAATAAAAAAAAAGATTATTAGAAGAACAAAAAAAAGGAAGTTAATTAACTATTAGATAAATTGAATAAAAATTCAATCTACACTTTAAAAAATTATACTAGCAAGTAGATAAGAGAATCATTCAACCATGTCACAACTATTTGCAGATTCCCTTTAATATTCAAAATTAATTTTTTTTGGCAAATTAAAACTTGTTTAGTAACTTTACAAATTCTAATCCATTTTCAAATATTATGAATAAACAATAAGGTTTCAGTAAATCAAATTTCAAAACTATGAGCAATTCTTTTCCTTTTACAAAAAATTCATTCAATTCAAATAAAAGCAAATCTTATAACACCAGAAGTGGACGAAGCTGAATAGCTAATGAAATATAGCTTATTTATTCTATTATGAAGATTATAATTTTCTTCTTTAAAAATATATAAAAAGAGAGCGAAAAAGAAAAGTTTAAAGGAGATAGACAAATATAAACCCTTTTTATGAATTAATAGAGAAAATAATCGAAGATGTAGATTAGATTCGCAGTACAAATAATAGGTAAAATATTCAAATGATTTTTATTGGAATTGTTTGAAAAAAGTAAAACTGCATAACATCAAATTAATACACTTTTTAAGGTTTAGTTTCTGCACCACAATTAAGATGTTAATTAGAATATTTGAAGAAAATATAAACATCAATTCATACTAAATTTAATTTGCAGCCGCTATCCCTAACAACAGAAAGGATGATAAAATGAAGAATAAAAATTTATAAAGTCTTGATTTATTTGAATATGGAAAACTTTTTTACTCAAAATAAATCTGGATGGAAAATTATCATTCTGTATACTAAAAATTCTCTTTAATTTACCCAAGAATGCATTGTTTGTAAATAATAATTCCCTTACCATTGTTTTTCCCTGAAAATCAGTTTTATTTGAATTAATATGAAATTTTCCTTCTTTTTAACAATATTTATATGAAATAGGCTTCCAGATTTGATATAATTAAGAATGAATTAATATCAAAAAAAAATGGAAGGAAGTTGAAAAAAATTAGTTAATGTGGATGCGAAAATAAATTTAATTCCGTATATTTAGGCGTGAGCACCATTGCAGAAGTTGTGGATATATTTTTTGTTAAGACTAAATAGACTTAATCATGATGTTGTTCAAACCACTTTGTTGATGGGCCTCCTAATGAAATGAGAAAAAAATTCGATTTTGCAGGCGTTGTTAGGATAAAATTAGTTAATTGATAGCTGACAAATGATTCTTTGTAGATAATGAGGACTCTACTTTGAAGATGACCCTATAAAAAGAAGGAAATTCCCATTTGAGAAATACTTCAAAATACTTTGAAAGTGTAACCACATTTACATTTACATCATCAAAAAGCATTATTGCAAAAGAAAATGAAGTTGAATAAATTTAGGAAGAGGATGACATTCTCTTAGAAATAAATTAATAGAGGGAAGATAAATCTGAATTTTTTGAAAAGATTTATTACCAATTTATAAGAAAAGAGTGGTTATTAATTAGAAAAAACATGCTATATATTGTTCTTAAACCAAATAAAACTTATGAAAAAGTTATTGAATTTTGAAAGTCAAAAATCAAAGCCTTGATGACTCAGTGTATTTAAGAAATTTAATTTCACTCTGTGAATACAAAACTTATAGATATCAATCATTTAATGAAAATAAAAATTATTAATCATCATGATGAACAATTAAGCAGCTTTTTTCATGGGGTCATTTTTCGTAAAAATGTTGCTCTAAAGTAAATGTAATATGAAATTAATAAACCAGCCCTCATTATTATTATTGGAGAATTTGACATGGAGGGCTAATTAGAAGATTATATCTAAAACAAAAAAAAAGTTGATTCTATTAATTAAATTTATAACAATCATGAACCAAACTTAATTTTGGTTGAAAAGGGTACTAATAAAATTGCTTTGGATGAATGTCTAAGAAGAATATTACTATTTTAACTAATTTAAAAAAAAAGCTCTTTAAATAGTTAAGTTGTGTACAAATGCTAAATACATAAGTTTATCTATATTAAAAAAATGCATTATTGAAAGAAAGGAATAAATAGAAGATCAATTTGAAAAAGTAATTTCCAAAAGTTCTTTAAGAAAAAGCAGAAATTTAAAAGGATTCTACTTTATGTTTTTTGAAAGCTTCAACTTGTTAAAAATTTGATACAATAACAATAAGCGGGCCTTAAGAGGATTTATTATCAAAAGTAAAATCATGTTTTATCAGATGTGCTAGACTATAACTACTGAATGTTTAATGTATAAAAACAATCAATTAAAAACTATTTCGAATTAAGGTAATTTTACAACATTTTTATTTGGAAAGATTCCTTTTCAAGAATTATTCAATATAGTATTAAAAACATTAAATCAATTATGTTATTGATGATGTTAACAATTTTAATGATATAAAAGATTTTTCTAGTTTAGAGGAATATGAATCAAAGCATCCTTCTTAAAGAGATAAATTAGAAGAGTTTCAATGACTCGTATGTGCAACAAGCCATAAGAGAAAAAATCTGTATATTATCATGGGAAGGATGTTTGTTTAGGCTAATTTATAATATTGAAAATAGAAAAATAGAAGTGGGAGAATTATATCGACTAATGAGCCTCCTTTATTATAAAATTAGGTCTCATAAAAGTTTTCCCAGTTTTCAAATGAGTATGAACGAAGAGATTGTTGTATTAATCTTTTATGTAGGATTGCGAATTTGGTAATTTAACTAATCTGGAAGAACCTCCAATTTTTGCAACTAAACAATAACACATTATGTTACTTAGACAATAAATTCACATTCAACTTTCAAAAAACGTGCAGTTACATTTAAGCTATCATAGTTGTGTGTAAACTTAGTGATGAAGCCAAATTGACAGTACAAGTACTCAACCAAACATTACAATCTGCATAAGTAAATAATGTTTTTTCTATTAAACATGTCTTTATTTAACATCTAAAAGCCTTATGTTATGCTACCAGCTTTAAATGTAGAGCATATAGCATCAATAAAACTAAATCCTGATCGTAATTTTAGCTTCAGAAGTAATTGAAGTTGATAAAGATTGGCATGCGTTATTACACTATTTTCAGCACAATATCTGCATTTGATCTATCACTAATATATAATCAAATAGAAAGCAATAATTTATTCAATTTAGAATTGAAATTTATTTACCATAAATTTTTTTCATTAAGAAGTTTTATTAATCTTAAAGAAAACTCTAATTTCTCTAATTTACGTTAATAAAGTTTAGAATAAAATATTTTGTGTAAGATTTTTCGTGGAAGTAAATACCTAATACAATGAGATTATTAAATGAGAAACATTTATTCAACACAATTACATTAATATTGTTATAAGAAATATTAATTTCAAACCAATTTATGCTGAAATTATAGATGAATATGAATTTATTTGGAACTTATAATTTTGATTTATTTGGAACTTATAATTTTGATTTAATGGCTATTGTTCCTTAGAAATAATCATTTTAATTGTGAGTTTTGCTAATATTCTTTCATTGGTTTTTAGAATGGTCTTCTTTTTTATATTTTTCATATTAAGCTAAGGCTTCATTTAACAAATTCTTCATAGCTTGATCAATGTTAATTCCATCCTTTGCAGATGTTTCTATGTGATTTTTAATAATGTACCTATAAACAACATACCTGAAGTATTGGCCAATTGCTATCCTTCTTCAAAAATGACTTCTCTTTACCAGTCAAATCAGATTTAATCCCAATCAACAATTTAGGCACATATGAATTGGTATTATTTTTAACTTCTATAAAAATAATACAGAGCGGGATACTTTCTTGCCATTTAGATAAATCATTAAAGAATTACCTATTCGTAATATCACCAATAATGACAACTCCTTTAATACTAATTGAAGTTAAGCTTATAAATCTTTACTCTCCTGTTGTATATCAAATCACATTTTAGATTAAATATTTTCCTACAAATTTAAGGCTTTACTGTTCAAATCAAATTTTATTGAATGGAAATCTACTCCAATTGTTGGCTGATATTGTTCATTAAATGAATTAATATTAAAAGCCGTTTTTCCTACAGAAGGGTATTCCAGGAGGATAAATTTGTAGACAACTTAAAATTCAACCTACATTTTATTTTATTTCTAATTTATACATTCCTATTTTGGATGTATATAAATAACAAAAGATTCAAAATGTTAATCTCTGCCTGAGAATTATTTATGGAATATAATGTTTAGATGATAAAATAAATTTTGTATCAATTTTGGGTGGGTCGACTGAAATATTTTTTTTATATCTATTGAAATCATAAATAAAAATCATTATCCCTATAATATATTGAAATTTTTAAATATAATAAAAATATAACTATGAATTTCACATTGGATGAATGTTCTGGCTTATCTTTTATATTATCTATGATATATTGATTCCTAAAGACAATACAAAGAAATAAATTATTAAAAAAATATAATAATCATAAAATTAAATATTTGCATTACCATTATTGAGGTTTGAGTATTTGAAATGATAATCATCTTGAAACAATTATAAGATTGAAAAAAAAGAAGTAAACATCCTTTTCAATTTTTTCAATTCATCTTAATCATTAATTTTTTATTTAATAAAATTTTTTAGATATTATAAAATTCATCTGCAAAAAATTAAAGTCCAATTTTTCACATATTGATCAGATTTCATAAAATTTCTGAAGGATTTCAGATGGTTAAAATAAAATGAATAATAATCTAATTTAATCATTTATTTCTAAATCCTATATTGTAACCTAGCTTTATATTATCTAGAATAGTATTTAAATTTGATGATATTAAATATATATATAA